TCAACAACGAAAGGATGGAGAATGGCCGAAGGTCTGGTTGTCCGATGGTGGAAGGGAGAGGGAGGATTAAGTCATGCAATTCCTGCGCACGCTCCGAATAGCATCCTGTAGAAAACCGATAGGCTGGCCACTTTGCGCCTGTGTTCGAGGCTAGTAAGATTGGTTTTAACCTCATTCTGTTAACCAATAAGCCTCTTAGCACATCATCATCATCATCTTTACAGCCCTTTACAATTCCACTGCTGAACATAGGCCTCCCCCAAGTAATGCCACAAAGCAAGGTTCTGAGCCACCTGCATCCATCGACTTCCTGCATGTCTTACCAGGTCGTCACTCCATCTAGTGCCTACTTACTACTAGCCTTTTAGCACGCCTTTTCATTACGTGCTTGGTGGTATTTTGCGGCACCAGCCCATAATAAATATAACTTTTATATAAAGCTCAAGTCCGATCATGCATGAAGTATTAAGTAAGTTAAGTAGTCTAGTCTAGGAATGGTTTAGCAAAATATCAACTTGCCGCACACGATTCAGTAGAACGCAGAACCAAGAGTTTTATCGGTGACATAAAGCTGATGGAAACTAAGCTTCATAGCTTAGCTCACCGCCGCCAAGTTGCTTTTTTGTCGGTCTTCTACAGATTGTACTTCGGAGAATGTGCTTATGAGCTTCATAAGCTCATACCGCCATCTCCATTCTACATAGAGAACATTATACTAATAATGTTCTCCAGACCGAATTTCGGTCACGGCGGCCTGCCTCAACAGCTAGCTATCAGCGCAAGAACGTATTATAGTGCCCAAGTGTATGCGCAAGCACAGGTGCACTCACTATTCCCTCACTCGCATAATCGGATGGGACGGTAAACCGACACGACCGAAGAGAGACCAGGCGCAGGATCAATGGCTTTATGTGCTTTCCGAGGCACGGGGGTGAGACACTGCCAACTTCCTGACTCCTGGCAGCTATTGATAATTTCTTGACGGAAAAACTCAATAATTGATTTTCATGGCCCGACCTGAGATATAAAGATATAGTATAAAACGTACTGCTGTAATAGTCATGCACACATACGCACAGCCAGGGGGTGAAATGATCTGCCAGCGTCAATTTTGCGTGGGCGTAAAACCTGAACCTCTTCAAGGTGCGTTTGAACAGGTTTCTCTTGGTCAAACTTTCTCCATCGTAGACCTTGTCTTTGCTCTCGGGCCAGATGAAGGTCAAGGGTGAGCTCATTTATAATAAAAATGACTCATGTCATACTAAAATATAGAAGTACAGTATGGTAGTGGTGGCAGTGTGAGAGAAACCATTGACCCATTCTAAGCTAGCTGGTATAATTACAGGCTGTTGGGCATTTCATCTTAGTCCTCACTCCTCAGTAGTGTACAACGCATATAGTTGTGTCACAGACGATATAAGACAAGTGTTCACGCCGTTCACACATTTGAACTTTATTAATAAAAATAAATTTTGGTTTATATAATAATTATATTCAAGTCATACGTGCAAAACAAAGGCCGTGGTAGCTCAAATGGTTAGCGCTCGCTGTAAATTTCACGGTACGCGAGCAAACCTGGCTCGATCCCCGCCGGCACCAATGAAATTGTTAATTGCAATTTTAATTGCTGATTTATTTATTTTGTGCTCGGCGGCGAAGGAAAACATCGTGAGGAAACCTGCATGTCGGAGAAATAAGAAAAAAAAATATTTAGAAGACATGTAAAGTTCGCCAACACGCATTGGGGCAGCGCGGCGGACACTTCCTTGCCCTAAAACCCTCTCAGAATTGAGCGGAGGCCTGTGCCCAGCAGTGGGACGTATATAGGCTGTAACTTTACTTTTTTACTTTACATATGTGTAGATCTATAATTGATAAAGATACTTTCACCATATTAAACTTAAGGATCAGTTTAGGTTGCGTAAACATTGTTAATTATTCTACCAATAGCAATCCCTTACGTTTTCGTTGAAAAGTAGTGCACGTTGAAAAGTGCACTACTTTTCAACGTGGTAGAGCCAAGCTGCAGCTATTATGGTTGTAGCAGGAATGGGTCGGTTCGACCGGGGAAGGACCACGCTCTCACAGAATACAAGCGTCAAATAGTAGCTTAATGCTGCTGTGTTTCGTATGGTGATTGTAGAGAACCGGAGACCCTTTTTACTGGAAACTAGGCATTCTATCTTAGTCCTCACGAGTGACAACGCATTTGCATTTTGATTCGTAATCGAGGATAGATGTAGATGTCTATAGACCACAGCAACCACTTACCATCAGGTGGACTGTGTGCTCGTTTGTCGTCCTATCTTATAAATAAAATAAAAAGAGACTGTACAATATAACGATATTTAATATGGCCTAATAGTGTTGCCAACACCAACCCCACACAACAAACAACCCACCACCACCCGGTTTGGCTTTTTTTTAAAAAAAAAAAAAAACACACACCCCCCACTCCCTCCACCCCCCCCCCCCCCCCCACCACAACCCCAAACCCCCCCCCCCCCCCCCCCCCCCCGCCCCCCCCCCCCACCCCCCCCCCCCCACCAAAACAAAAAACAACAAACCCACCCACCACCCACCCCCCCACCACAAAACACCCACACACCCCAAACCCCCCCCCCACCCACCCCCCCCCCCCCCCCCCCCCCCCACCCCACCCTAACTCGGTCATTGAGCTGCAAGTGAAGGGTAACCGTGGTTAAGAATTGAGTCATTCAATCTTCTCAAGTTGTTGCTACCGGTTAGACGTAATAATGTTAGTGTTACGTTGATAGCGTATACATTTCACACTGTTGAACTACGTCTACGGTTTTTTATAATGTCAGGAAGAGTGACCAACTAGCACACAACACCCCTGCTAATAAGTGGATGCTGTGGTCCATATACATCTGTCTTAAAATCAAAATACCTTGTCATCCATGAGAATTCGGGAATGCTTTGTTACCAGTAACAGAAACAGAAACTTTTTTATTCAATGTGGATTATAACAATACTTATTGAAAGTCACTTTTTTCATTTACCACTGGTTCGCAAAAAAAAACCTCTGTCCTGGGAAGAACCAGCAAGAAACCCAGCGGGACTATTTTTTTTCAATAATAGCTTACAATCACGTTTACAATTAACAACACAAGACAAATTAGAAATAGCTTGGTAGCGATCACCCTTCCCAGGGGTTATTATCATCCATAAATTCCTTAATATTATAATAACCCTTTTTATACAAACTTAGTTTAAAAACATTTTTGAACTTTGTGTATGACAAATTTTCTATATTTTCTGGGATTTTGTTGTAAAAGCGTATACATCGCCCCAAGAATGAATTACTGACTCGGTGGAGTCGATAAATCAGGTCTCCGGTTTATGACACTCGCTATTATAAATATTATAAATATTATAAATATTATATAGCTGCTATTTCGCCCTAATTATTCGTGGATAGATGTTGACGTCTATAGGTCAAAGTTTCCGGTTACCGTCAGGTGGACTGTACACATTTGTCACGCTTATTCTATATAACAACTAACGTTCCGTCGACCTTCTTTCTGGATCTCGACAACACCGCCACCTACCGGGTGCAATTAGGGTTGCCAGATGCCCGGGATTCGTCTGGATTCTCTCGACATTTCAAACGATCTCCAGACTCCGGACAAAACTCAAAATCTCCAGACAAACAGCTCCTCGGAAAGTTTACGTATGGTTTTTAATTTAATAAAAGCTGAGTTAGTAATTAGACTGAACTTTTAAGTTTGAAGAAATTATTTGAATTTTAAATATTTTCTGAATACTAGTAAATATTCAGAAAATAATTATTGAATTCTAGTAAAGTCTAACGCCAAATACATATGACAACCTAAAAATTGAGTTTAGTGTACTTATTTGTATTAATTAGTTTTGCTTAAAGTACTTTTTGTGGCCTTTTAATAAAAAATAAAAATATACTTTTTTTTTAAATATTTATTTCTCCCGACAACAAAATCGCGACATTTTCAAAATTAGTTAGCAGCTAACAGCTAAATACCATCTAGGTGACCCCATAAGTACCCCATACATTTTCATCAAAATTTTGGAACTCCTAATATTTTTCATCATACTTATCGACCTTTCTTGTGTTTTAACTTTAGTTTTAGTTTTTAATTGTTTAATTTCTGTACACCTCGCCTATTCGTTATTCGCCATTCTAAACAACATTTCTTTGTGCATGAAGGTTGGTTGAAAGAAATCGCTTACGGAGTGATAAGACCGCCTTTTGATATATTTCATTATATAATTTATTTCATTTTGTTTTTAAGCGAACTCAAAAAAAAAGAACAGGTTCACAATACAATTGTGTTTAATTTTTTGTATGAAAGTTCTCAGATATGTTCAATTGAGACCCTGATGATTGAATTTGAAGATTCCTTTTTTTTATTAAATTGGTGGAGGATTATTTTTTATTAAGTAGGTTATTAGAACTATTCAGTGTTATATATAAATTTAGAGATATAATTACACCCATAAAGGTGGCAAAATAGGGAATGAAGTATTTAATCTAACTCACAGAATACCGGCGTAAAATAGCAGCTTAATACTGCTGTGTTTCGTATGGTGAGGGTGTAGAGATCCGGAGACCCTTTTTACCGGAAACAAGGCATTCGATCTTAGTCCTCAGGGATGACATCGCATCTGCGTTTTGATTCTTAATCGTGGATAAATGTAGATGTCTATGGGCCACAGCATCCACTTACCATCAGGTGGTCTGTGTGCTCGTTTGTCACCCAATCCTATAAAAAAAAATGGTAACGCATCTATATTTTGATTCTAAAAATCGAGAATGGGTACAGGTGTCTATGGGCTATAGCCTACAGCATCCACTTACAATCAGTTGGGCTGTCTGTAGGTTTTTCACTCGTACTTCTTTAAAAAAGTTGAGTATTGATATTACTGTTCTTTGTAAAAACCATGTTCGTCCTTCTGTCCCATTCTCAATATAGTAAGGTAACGGTGATGTTTTGTTTCAGGTACAAAGATGACAGTGATAGAGAGGCAAGAAATACTCGGTCCTTCCCCAGAGTTGAACTATAGGAAGGGCCAGAACGGTCACCGGACCGAGCAGGGAATGGGCGAGGTGAGAGGTCTTGCATTAACGGTTTCACAATGAATTTTAAATTAATTGAATGGGAGTGTGTTAGCTTATTCTATAAAAATATAAAGAAAACTAGGGGCGCGGCAGACTTTGTTCATAAATTTCAGTTTTGTGGGTCCCGAGGAGTTAAGGTGATACCTCAAAAATTTGGTAGTTTTTCTATTTCACATATTTCTTTAATTTTTATAGGTTACAAACCAAATTTTTAGAATATGATTTATGACTGTGAGCGCCAACCATTTTTGATGCACTCCCCCCGAAGGGAACGCTAATTCGGGAACTGGACCGTACTCCACAGCAAAATAACTGGCGAACCAGTAAAAGAGGCTTGGCCCCTTGTTAGTGCGTAAGCACAAACATCGACCGAAGTCGCGCATGTCAATGCGTGTAAACGCCATACAGAATACGAACAAATCCAGCCACAGTGAATGTGTACGTCAACGGCTTAGGCAAATAGGCACAGCGGTGAGCTGATCTGGGATTTGACTTGGGAAGAGACTCCATGATCTGCGATTGCATAAAAGGAAAAAACGATATCATCTAATTTTCTCGATGGAAAAAATTGTAAAGTAGGTAGATCTGGGATTGCATAAAAGGAAAAAACGATATCATCTAATTTTCTCGATAAAAAAAATTGTAAAGTAGGCTCTAATTAGTTACATTTCCCCATAACACCACAACATTTTTAGGAGTAAGTTCATTAAAATTATTTTTAAAGCATCGTAAATAATCATATCTAAGTTCGCATAAACCAATTTTTTTTAATCCATAGCGAAGTTTAGTTAAAAAACCTAAAATTGTTGTTTGGCGCTTACGTAGTTTTTTTCCGAACGCGTGATCGGTATAGCTATCTCATAATTTGCGTACTATGAAGTCATTGCATCACTTTCATTTTGATACTCCCTCAATTGTCCGTGAGCTTCACCGACAAAGGGCTAACCTTGAAAATGAATCGTAGTTTTAAGGGCATGCCTTAAGTTAAGAGGATTCTTAACTCTGAATTTACTCCGAACCTGTTACAGTTTTAATATAAAATTTATTGACAACTCGACCATAGTGCCTGTTGGGTTAAGATTTTGTGAAAAAAGTAAGTAGGTCAGGGAGTTAATCCCATCGCGGGTTTCCCTCCGGATTAACTCCCTCTGTCAGTCGGAAAGGCCAGAACAACGTCTACCGGGCCAGTTAGTATACTTATGATGTTACTTTTGGACCTGCAAGTTTCCCAATGATATTTTCTTTACTAGTAAGAACTGAAGAGAGAGTAAGAAATAAATTGCAATCACCAAATTCATTGGTGCCGGGGGGCTACCTTAAGAAGGCTTACAAGGCTTGAGTAGTGGTTAATGAACTTCTTTTTTACTTATATTTCAGACAAACCTGGAGTTCCATTTCTATCATTGCATGGACTTAGTCAAGGCCGGTATGGAGTCCATTATCGAAGACCAGGTCACTTCCGTCTTCGAGGCTGAGGAGTTGAGAAGTTGGAACCTTCTAACAAGGACTAACAGGTACAGTTGCTTGTTCTTCCACAGACTCAATCTCTTAAGGAGTTTTGCTTGGATTTATTTCATAGAATAAGGGTGACAAACGAGCACATAGTCCATGTGATGGTAAGTGGATGCTGTGACCCATAGAGATCTACATTTAACCTCGATTAAGAATCAAAACGCAGATGCGTTGTCACCCCTGAGGACTAAGATGGAATGCCTCGTTTCCAGTAAAAAAGAGTCCCCAGATCTCTACACTCACCATACGAAACACAGCAGTATTTCAAGCTGTTGAAATAACTAAATAGATGAGAACTCAGAGAAGATGTGCATGTTATCATAAAAGAGTTTTACTCTTTCAGACAGTACGAGTTTTTAACGTGGAGGTTAACCATTATATGGATGATGGGCTTCGTGGTGCGCTACTTCTTCCTTCTACCCTTAAGACTGTTGATCTTTGTTATTGGGGTAAGTGGGCTAAGTACTTAACTAACACCCGTTGTTTAGAACGGCTATCTAATGGGGGCGCACGATGTTTGTGCCACCAGGTTGGCGCAATTTAGGATTGAGGTGGATTACTTGACAGATTTCCTAGCCGAGGAAGTTAATTTGTAATAAAAATGTCGACTGTAATGATTTCTTGTAAAATATTTGATATATTTTATATCTGTATAGTACGTGAGGGTAGTAATACGGTCATCCGGTTAATATGGACACTTTTATAACTCAAATACTACAGCCTTGTTTGCATAGAATTTAATTTTATTATACAATGTGTAAAAAAAAATTCGGTCCGATCTGAAAGAGGAACATATCAAAATTATATTAACAAAATAATTGCAAAATAATTATCAATTAAAAAATGAATAGAAAAATGTTATTGTCATTTAATATATTATATATTTTTTACTACAATTTGCTTATAATTCTTTGAATGTGTGGTGGTATCTTGAAGGCCGCCGGCGTCACATGTGTTACCGTGTTAGTTTCTCCATATAATTTATAAACAATTTCTTAATCATTCTTTAAAAATAATTTAATGAACAAAATTATCTCACAATACCTAAAAGTAAAATCATCCCCACGGATCTAACAGAGTTTTTTTTACATATTATATTTTATTATATATTATGGGTGTAGAAATATCTACTAACCTAAATCGTCCCGTGGGTGACCTAAGAGGCGACAAAGGAAAGCTGATCTAGAAGTTAAACAGCAGCAACTTTATAATAAGAGCTGAATAAAAAACAAAAATCCTTCAGTTACCAACCCCCTTGCCAAGAGTGGCAACTATGGCATATATCCACCTCACGAGGCGAATTATGGGAGTCCTATGTTCATCAGTGGAATTTTGATAGGCCTCAAGGTTTTTTTATAGGACGTGGTGACAAACGAGCACGCAGTGCACCTGATGGTAAGTGGTTGCTGCGGCCCATAGACATCCATATCTATCCTCGATTACGAATCAAAACGCAAATGCGTTGTCACCTGTGATAACTAAGATGGAATACCTCGTTTCCAGTAAAAAGGGTCTCCGGTTCTCTACACTCACCATACGAAACACAGCAGCATTAAGCTACTATTTTACGCTGGTATTCTGTGAGAGCGTGGTCCTTCCTCGGTCGAGCCGACCCATTCGTGCTACAACTATACTACTAATACAACTGTAGCATGGCTCCACCACGTACAAATTCTATTTCGGAACACACCCATAATATACCAATCCATCCGCTAAGCGTAACAATTACAGTGGAAAAGGCTTTATGTCTAGTCATGGACTGTTTTAGGATTTTTATTTAAAACCTTAGTGACTCACGAACATACAGTCCACCCGATGGTAACTGGCTACTGCAGTTGTGGACATCTGCAATCCACTTTAAACGTGGTAGAGCCAGTCCAGTGCAGTCATATTAGTAGTATAGTTGTAGCACGAATGGGTCGGCTCAATCGGGGAAGGACCACTCTCTCGCTCTCACTGAATACCAGCGTAAAATGGTAGCTTAATGCTGCTGTGTTTCGTATGATGATTGTAGAGAACTGTAGACCCTTTTTACTGGAAACGAGGCATTCCATCTTAGTCTTGACGGATGACAACGCATCTGCATTTTGATTCGTAATCGAGGATATATGTATATGTCTATCGGCCACAGCAACCACTTACCATCAGGTGGACCGTGCGCGCGTTTGTCACCCTATCCTATAAAAAAAAGACTACAGATGCGTTCTCATCTCTGAGGACTGAGATGAATTGCCGCACAGCCTGTAATTATATTGACTCTCTAAACTCTTTAGACCAGAACACGGAAGTGCAAGCCCTGGTATGTTTTGCGGGAGAAATAATTAAACTTACTTAGAGAGACTAAATGCAGAAAAAAATGTCCCACCATCTTATTATATAAATTGTACTATTTCTAATACATATAATTTTTGGATTTAGATTAATAAATTCAGCTAAATAAATACGTTAGTAAAATGTTACTATATTTTACCAAATTCTACTAAAAGCTACCGTTAAAATTGGCAACACCAGGTGCTGACGCTGATTACATCAATGCTAGCAGTGAGCATGATCCCATCGACAAAATGGCGTCGAATATTCGGCGCGATCGCATACAAGTTGTCTATGAGAATATTACTAAGATGCTTGTCTTGTGTGGTGACGTTCCACGACACTGAGTACATGCCGAAGACCACCGGATTCTGTGTTGCCAACCACACCAGTCCAATTGACGTCATACTGCTCAGTGTCAACAATTTCTTCTCTTTGGTAGTTTTTTTTATACCATCTTTGTTTAAACCGGGATCTGTATTCGCACGAACTCTGTTTTTGGCCTGGCATTTGTGTATGTTTATATCGGGCGATATTTTCTTGGTTGTTTTATTGTGTTTTTATTGTACATTAAAATTTAGATATAATATATTTCGATTTGTGAAGTTAGCTGTATTCAAAATGACCAATTAAATATTATAGCCCTCTATATTTTGGGTGGTGGTGGGATGGGTGAAGTTCTTTTCAAGGGACTGTTAAAAGACCTTGAATGGGGCTGCCTCTTGCAAATCTAACGTGTCCAGTACTGCTCCAGCATGCGGCACAACACCATCCATCCCCCCCTCCCATACGCTATGCATCTCAATAACACGGGAGCAACCCTCATAATATCACCCCTCATTTCATCGCTTAGGTTTGGTGGCTGATTGTAAGCACGGCCTGTGTCGGGACCCTACCCGACGGTCCGTTCAAGCAACGGGTCAATTATGCGACTTCGATCTTGAGCTTCAACTTCCTCTCGAGATGTATATCGATGGTGATCACCTACCATGATGGTGACGTGAACAAGCCGAAGAACGGGATATGCGTGGCGAACCACACCAGCCCCATCGACGTGCTGGTGCTGATGTGCGATAACTGTTACTCGTTGGTGAGTTGCGGTTGTGGTGGTGCTGGTGAATGTTCAGGGTCGAAAGAAGCATGCTGTGTATCAAAGCTTAGATACATTTATTCTACACATAACTGTGATGTTATATTTTTATTTTTTATTTTTTTTTTAAATACAAAACAAACCCCCTCCCCATCAATATTCTGCTGTATTATGCAAGCGTTTTACACACACGTATTTCACATGGACAAATATCTATGAATTGATTCGATGAATCGACAACCGATAGGGGAGTCGAGTAGTAACAGCGTAAGAGAAGCAACTACGCTATATCATCCCGGGAGTTTCGTAAGAGGAGACACGGGAAGATGAAACTGGAAATGGGCATTCGTATCCCCCTGATGACTATTGGTGAAGCTAGAAAAATGTTATAGCGACAAAAGTACGAGAGGTTTAGTACTGCGACTTGTTGGTTTCCTCGCGATGTCTTTCTTCACCACCAAGAACGCCAAGCACAGCATTTAAAATTACAATCAACAATTTCATTAGTAACTTCATAACTTATAAATATATAGTAGATATTAATTACAGCCTATCAAAAGTCCATTTTTTTTAAAGAATAAAAGTAAAAGACGAGCACACAGTCCGCCTGATGGTAAGTGGATGCTGTGGACCATAGACATCTACATTTATCCTCGATAAAGGATCAAAATTCAGAGGCGTTGTCAGAGGACTAAGATGGAATGCCTCGATTCCAGTAAATAGGGTCTCCGGTTCTCTACACTCACCATACGAAACACAGCCGTATTTAAGCTACTATTTTACGCTGGTATTCTGTGAGAGCGTGGTCCTTCCCCGGTCGAGCCGACCCATTCGTGCTACAACCATAATATGGCCGTAGCATGGCTCTACCATGTATCCATTTGCAACTATTTACATTAAAATATTTTGGCTGCTTTCTTACTTGCTATTTATAACAATCTTTTTATTTATCTTAGTCTTATATCCTTCCTATTGGCGATTTTGAAATCGACTACTTTATATATTATAAAGTTTTTATATTATTAAGTTATAAAGTTCTCAAAAATTACTCATATTTACTTACATAGTACATACTATATCATCAACATCATATAATACATATTAATTTTGAATGTAATAGTTAAGTTTATGTTAATGTGTCTATGGTTTTGTATTTATCTATGTATTCAACACATATCATCTTTTTCTATTTGCGAGCATGATTGTGTCACTTGGCAAAGAAATGGATAGATATAAGTATATATATGTGCACAAGCTTAAACTTAAAAAAAATTAATATGTACGTTATCTATTACACTTAAGTTATTAATTATATAGAACGTGGTAGCTCAGATGTTAAGCACTCGCAGTAAATTTCATAGTACGTAAACAACCCAGGTTCGATCCCTGTCGACACCAGTAAATTTGATAGTTCAATTTTAAGTGCGAAGCAGACCGTTTAGTGGCGGATTAAAAATATCCACTACAGCGCAGTGATGACCGCACCATACTGTTCCGTGGGTATCGTAAGAGACGGCAGGGGGGAACAAAAACAAATTGGGAGATTTACCAGTGTTAATAGTGAAATACTAGTTCAGGGCCTTGATGGGCTTTTTTTTTAAAGAAAAAAGAGTTGTATTTGTAAAGTCTCAATGATCGCCTTGATATAAAATATCCAATTGAAAATAGTCTCTAAGTACTATACAACAGAGAACGAATACCCGCCATTCGGTTAATACATTTGGTCATTCGGCACGCTCTTACATATATCCATGAATGTTACATATATCCATCACGAATATCAGGTATCCACCAACCGATGTTGAACAGTTAGTGTATAAATGAAGTGAATATGGAATATTAGCATATCAGAATCCGTTGGATTACTGATCTATGAATCCACGTAATATTACTAATATCTTAACGAATACAAATATATCGGTTACATCTTTTACCTCAAACATTACCTCCACACTGGAATTTTCTTCTGTATTTCGGCGGCAGTTTGCATACATACATTTCACGAGGACAAACATCCAGACCCGGAACTATAATTTGTAGGCCATACAAATACTTGTGGTTTCTAACCTGTGGCCACTATAGAGCCGTCGATATGTTGCAACTATAACGGATAATGAGTTCTAATTTACTATTAGTTTTTCAGCGGTGAGGGGAAACTATTGCCCAAACACTGAAACGCTACTCAATTTTCAGACGACGTTAATTCTCGTGGTGTCACAGTCACTTTGAGTTAAAGTAAAAGAGACAGCACGAGACTTTACAGCGTCTTAAAGTTGAGTGTTCGAGCAATGGTGAGGAAACCTGTATGTTTGAGAAATTAAAAAGGAATATTTGGAAGACATGTGAAGTACGCTAACACGCATTGCAACAGCGCGGTGATTACTTCCTTGAACTGTAACCCTCTCAAAGATGAGAGAAGGTATATGTCGAGTAATGGGATGTATAATGTATACAAGCTGTACTACGCGTTCATTTCAAGTTTGCCGTCGTCGACAGTTATGATATCACAGCTGACGGTACCGTAGACAAAAAAGTTATCATGTTTATCTATAATATCACATTAAAAAAAATAGTCATAATGGACTATTTTTTCGTCAAACTGAGCAAAACTAAGTAGTTCGTTGTCCTGTACACAGAAACTGAGAGCAAAACAAGTAGATAAAATGCATATTATAAAATAAAATTTATTTTGTGCAGTGAATTAATAACAGTAAATAGGAACGTGTCCGATACAATTGTAAAATATTATTAAAATTTTTATAGTTTTATTTTACATTTAAAATACGTAAAACATTACGAAGGCGCTGCTATCGGTACTAATATAGCGACGCTTGAGGCGCGGAGTGAGGGGGCGCGGCGGGAGGTAACGGCGTTGTTGGAATGAATTTATAGTACAATAATAAAAGATGTTACTCTTTTTTAATCATTAGGAATCTCTTAGGAATAAAAATTGTAAAATAAACTCCACTATTTTACAACTACATACAACAATTTGCACATAAACATACATTTAGTTTTGTAAGTAATTTGTGTAGGCTTTACAAACACTCGGTTGAACTCGTGACCCGCAACTTTCTAAGCTCTGTGCTACCAAACATATTTAACAATTATACATGTTTCAGATTGGTCAAAGGCACGACGGTTTCCTTGGGCTTTTGCAGAGGGCATTAGCCAGGGCTTCGCCCCACATTTGGTTCGAGAGGTCGGAAGTCAAAGATCGACATGCAGTCGCCAGAAGGTATGCAATTTGTTGGTAAACTCAACATTTCAATTTTACGTACTATAGCAATGTTGCAGCTGTATTTCCCTTCCCGACAGGGACCATATTGGCACAAAATGTCAACTTTATTTAGCAGCATAATACTTCTGCGTTTTTTATAGTAAGTGGTGCGAATCGAAGACGAAAGAACACAACCAAACACAAAAACTATACAAGGTATAAGTGTAAACACCGTTGTCACTAAAACCATGGGTAGTAGGCTTTCATATAAAAATATTTATCCGAATTTAAAAAAAAACGCTATTTTCTTTCATAAAATTTAAAAAGTTTCTGTCCGACACCATCCGTAAATTCACGGATACCCTATGCGCCCGAGTAACGTAATAACTGTAAAGATCACCGCCCGCGCTAGTTACCTACACAACATTCCAATAAAAACACAGTAGGTACACATAACCTGTGATGTAACTTTTCCTTCATGCTTTCATCCTGGCTGAGAAAATTGAGATTTTACTTAAAAAAATGTTGTTATTTTTCATTGAATTTTGCGTTCTATAAGTGAAACCAAGGATAACGGTGTTTACACTAACACCCTGTATTTTGCCTATTTTTTTTCTTTTTATAACTTACAGATTGGGATTTAAATAAAAAAGTAGTTGTCAATTGATCTGACAACATATCCGTTAAAAACTGTCAGATTTAAAACATTACTAATATATTAACGTGAAATGAAATTGATTATAATCAATTTGGACGAAATCAAGAGTTTGTTTGCAAAATAAATGTCCGCGACTTGCGCGAATACTTTTGTGACACTATTGATTTATTTAATATTTATAAATGAAGTTTTAATGTAGTAACATCAATCCGGCTCGGAGGACCAATTATATAATTTTAGAAATTAAATATATTTTTCAATTTTCAGACTAAAAGAACACATATCGGTCCCGGACAACCCCCCAATCCTCATATTCCCCGAAGGCACCTGCATAAACAACACCTCAGTTATGCAGTTCAAGAAGGGAAGTTTCGAAGTCGGCGGCACCATATACCCAGTCGCAATTAAGTAAGAGATTATTCATCTTTGTATTTGTTACCTCAAAAATTAATAATTCAGAAATCAGATTTCTTATGTTAATAAGGCAAAATAGGCGTCAGGGGACAGAGAGAAATTTAAACGTGGTAGAGCCACGCTGCAGCTATATTATGGTTGCAGCATGAATGGGTCGGCTCGACCGGAGAAAGACCATGCTCTCACAGAATACCAGCGTAAAATAGTAGCTTATTGCTGCTGTGTTTCGTATGGTTAGTGTACAGATCCGGAGACCCGTTTTTTACTGGAAACGAGGCATTCCATATTAGTCCTCAGGGGTGACAACTCATCAGCGTTTTGATTCTTAATCGAGGATAAATGTAGATGTCTACGGGCCACAGCATCCACTTACCATCAGGTGGACTGTGTGCTCGTTTGTCACCCTTATTCTTTAAAAAAAAACAGACAGCAGCTGCATCTTCTTATAACTCAATAGTAATACAAAAACCCGCAGTTCATTTTTGCACGATATTTACCCGACTGCCTCAGTACGAGGGTAATGTTTTTCGAGAGTATTTATGTATGTATGTCTATTCTTTGGTACATTCTGTAGCCTAAACAACTCACCTTCAGCTGTGGGAGTGATACAGGCTAAATGTTTTCACGGCGGTTTTGAATCTGATAAATTTCTGGGTCTCGATGTTTATTTATGTTCACTTTATGTGTGTAAACTGCCTCCACGACACAAGAAAAGTCATAGTGTGGGGGAAATCTTTTTAAAATATCATTTCTATGATTGGCAGTCCACTATGTACGCAACCATGCATTTTTCCAAACATGTTTGCTCATGCAGGACCACAATGTGGCATTTAATGCCATCATTGTTTTTCCCGGATCGATATGACTTAGAGACCTTCAAGAAAAGAGCCTACTCTTTTCTAAAAAGTTGGAAACGTACCTGCAATTCCTCTGGTGTTGCAGATGTTAGTCGGTGATAGTGAAAAGTTACCATCAGGTAATCTGTATGCTCGTACTTAAAAAAGGAAGATGGTAGCCGGATTAAAAAATATTTAGTTCCATTATACACCGTCATCGGACATAGAAAAGTACAGTCGACAAAAAAGATAGTGAAGGATAAGCTAGTTAGGATAGTTTACATTTTTAACACGCTCACCTACTCCATTTCCGTTCTAACCTCCCAAATATCGCCTCCGCAGATACGACCCGCGTTTCGGCGACGCGTTCTGGAACAGTTCCCGATACGGGATGCTGCACTATCTCCTCAACATGATGAGCTCGTGGGCGATCGTCTGCGACGTGTGGTACCTGCCGCCGATGCACCGCGAACCAAACGAGACGGCCGTGGACTTCGCTAACAGGGTCAAGGCCGTCGTGGCGAGGAGGGGGGGGCTCGTCGATCTCATGTGGTGAGTCCCGCTTTCTGACTCCTTACAGGCTCTAGGTTCGGATATCATTGAGACCTAGGATTTAATTATTACTGGAATAATAAACTAAAGATAGACAGACATCAATTGAGTTATAAAAAACTAGAGGAGCAAACCACATAACCGCGCGTCGAAAAAAGTGTAACCACTATCCAACAGCGATGACGTAGCTTTGAAATTACTAAGCATTTTAAATAAACATATATCTGTCTCACTTACACAAGTTGCGAAAACAATACCGTCGCTAAGATTAGATAAAGATGGACACACCAAACATGCAATGGCGGGTTTGGTGTGGCTTACTATATGAAATTTAACCCAACTGAGTGTGTGAGTGAAAAAAACTCTTTTTTTTAAGCTGCAGTTAAATGTTTTTATTTATAAAAAAAGTATATTTTCTTATCAGGTAAATAGAAGTTAGCATAACTGATGTAATAAAACATATTTTTTATAAGTATTTTTATTGTACTAATAAATCAAACAATATAGAATAGGTAATAAAATATATTTAATAGATCATTCATGAATAAACTAAAATAAGAATAATTTATTATTTTGTATGAAAGTTAAAACGTAGTTTTTATTATAATTTCCAAAATATTTAAATCAGAGGTAACAAATTAACTTACTCCATTAATTACATAGTCTCCCGTTAATGTGGGATAATCACAAAGGCGGAAAAGTGGCAACATTTAACCTAAATCGCAGTATTCGATAATTTTATTTAATTATTTTAGGTTTTTACGTTTATATGAAAACATGAACTAAAACTTATGTGTGGAAAGTGATTCCGCTTGATTTATTATGTTTTTGTGACCTTGAATCGCATTCTTTCACTACGCATTTACCCATTTTTGTCGTTGATCGTTCGGCTCAACTCTGCGTCACATTGAACACTGAACTGACGTTAGCTAGGCATATGGCTGTGGCCATATTTGCAGTTGCAACGCTTTGGCGCGGTTATTACTAATCTAGTGTAATATATAAATCAATGCATGACATCTGTAGAAATGTTTTACGTGGTAGTCCTAAACGGGTCGGCTCGACCGACGAGGACCACGCTCTCGCAGAATACTAGCGTAAAATAGTAGCGTAATACTGCTGTGTTTCGTGTGTTGAGTGTGGGGAACTGGAGACCCTTTTTACTGGTAACGAGACATTCCATCTTAGTGCTGAGGTGACAATACATCTGCATTTTGATTCTTAATTAAAAATCGATGTAGATGCCTATGGGCCACAGCATCCACTCACCATCAGGTGGACTGTGTGCTCGTTTGTCACCCTTTTTCTATTTAAAAAAAAATGTATTTTTTGACTTAAGAGACGGCATAAGAAGCGATACTGGGAAACTGAAACATATTGTAGCAGTAGTTTTCCGGTAACGAAATAAAAATAATTAAATGATCTTCCTATGAAACCTTGGCTTGAGGTCTATGTAAGCAGTGGGCTTGATGTTGCTGCGAGGCTGTAATGAACGACTAATCAACCATTTCCCATGTTTTTCTGGCACTCATATATATATATATATATATATTTAAAACGAAAACGAGATTGTAAAAACAGTGAGTGTTGTCAACGTAACGTAACATATATATGTACATATATGTTATGTATACAGTGTGTCCGGTCACGGACTAGCGATATTTTAGGTACTTATAATACAGCTATTTTAATATAAATATACACTACACACTGAGGTCTAATCCCCTCCCCCTCTATTTGGCAGCCATTTTGTTTTTCTCTTGAGATATTCTCTACGCGTTTACGAAAAAAGTCATATCTCTGAAAGTTTTAGTCTTACTGAGATAAAAATTAACTCATTCGTAGGCCAATAATATTGTTTATCGTTTACATTATCAAAATTTTTGTTGACATACTTGTAACTTTGAAGAACTAAAATTTAACTTCAAATAAATATCAAAAAAATATGCTAATCGGCAAATTATTGTAAATTACTGCAAAAACAACCCCATTCACCCTTTTTATTTTTATACTAGATCGACAGATTTTGAGTTAAGCCACAATGCAACATAAAGTTTACAGCTGTATCTTTATTACTTTAAGGACTATTGTTGTTTGAACATGGCGTATGCCCAAACACAAAAGGCCTTTGTTAAGTGACAACTGGCACTGCCTGCCTAGGAGTAATAGTGTTCTGTGCTGCCTGCTCTCAAATTATACTACTTATAAATGAATCTAATTCATCGAAGATCATAAGTAATCTCAGATTACTATTACTCCTAGGCAGGCAGTGCCAGTAGTCATTTAACAGAGGCCTTTTGTGTTTGCGTATATGCTATGTTCAAACAACAATAATGCTTAAAGTAATAAAGATACAGCTGTAAACTTTATGTTGTATTGTAGCTTAACTCAAAATCTGTCGATCTAGTATAAAAATAAAAAGGGTGAACGGGGTTGTTTTTGCAGTAATTTACAATAATTTGCCGATTAGCATATTTTTTTGATATTTATTTGAAGTTAAATTTTTTTCTTCAAAGTTACAAGTATGTCAACAAAAATTTTGATAATGTAAACGATAAACAATATTATTGGCCTCCGAATGAGTTAATTTTTATCTCAGTAAGACTAAAACTTTCAGAGATATGACTTTTTTCGTAAACGAGAAAAGCAAAATGGCTGCCAAATAGAGGGGGAGGGGATTAGACCTCAGTGTGTAGTGTATTTTTATATTAATTATAGCTGTATTATAAGTACCTAAAATATCGCTAGTCCGTGACCGGACACACTGTATATATATAATGTTATCAATTAACAACTCTACTTTCTCATTCAACAGGGACGGGCAATTAAAACGAATGAAAGCGAAGAAGGAATGGCGGGAGTTACAACAAGAAGAGTTCAGCAAAAGACTGAAAGGGGAGTAGTCCCCAAGGTGCGAGGACCGATCCTGTCTCGAGTGAGACTCCACGGAGTCTGAAGAATGTCAGTGATATGTGTTGTGATGTTACTGTTTTTATAATGGAGTTAGTGTTGTATTGAAGAAAAGAAGAGCAAATAAGAATAAATAAGGTGATAGTAACGTTATTTAGCAACTCTACTCTAGTCATTTTAACCTTGTGTACACAAGAAACACAGAATATTAATATAATAGTACAGGACAGTGAACGCAAATAAAAGCATTTGTAGCTCCAAAAAATAATAAACGCAAAATAAGCTGCGGCAAGATTAGTTTGAATATGTTCACAGTATATATTTTGGTGAGTGTATGTAAATTTGTATGAAATTTGTAGGTGTCTTTAACGTCAGTGTGATTACGCTGACGTTAAAGACACCTAGAACTCTAATTCTTTTTTCTAAAATAAAATTAACCTATGTTACTACTTATAACATCAGCTATCTGCTAGTGAAAGTCCAGTCAAAATCAGTTAATCCATTTCGGAGATTAGCCAAAACCACAGAATAAATATTAGTACTACGTACCGAAACAAACAAACTATGTGTCTGTTTGTTTCGGCTAATTTTAGACAATAATTTTGAAAATTGTTTTTTGTTATAAGTACCGCAGATACTTTCAGGTGCATTAAGTAAAAAGCTGCTGCATTAAGTAAACCGCAAACAGGCACTACAATTTCATTTATTTGGATAGATACTTATTTGTATAGATTGCACCTTATCAAGTAAAACTTCGTAAACGCAACTTATGTGGAAATAAGGTCAACTTTTGATTGTGTGTCCCGAAGTCATAATAAAATATAATAAACTGTTAACTAACAGCAAGGGAGTTTTAATGTGTGAGTTCATTTGAAATACACAAATATATTTTATTTGCGTTTCCTGGTACAAGATAAAGAGAGTCACTGCAAAAACATTACGACGCAATAAAATGCAATTCAGCTTGTACAGTGTTCATGCTTGATATTATATTCAACTACAAGGTAATTCTCTTTCTATTGCATAACTCGTATCACTTCTAACACGCCTTGGATAATAATAACCTAGTCGACTTGCTTGAATACTGTCCAAAGACTGCGTAGAATATAATATAGTACGCAATATGTTTGCACAAATACACTGACTCGCACACACCACATAATTGAGTGGAGAGAAACAATAGCCTAATATTTTTATTTTTTAGTATAAGAGTATAGAGTTGCTAAAACCGGCTACATTTTTACTTATATTATAATGTATCTGTTTCTGTTAATATCGCAAAAAGTATACTATGTACTAATCGATTTTAGAAGCCTATCTATGGCCATATTTAGGTCTGTTTTTAAAACAATGGTTGGAATTTTGTAAAGCAATATATTTTTATCAATTGCTCAAAAGCGATGTAACTAACTACAAAAGAGTAGGTGTCCTGTTAAGGGAAAGATGATTTCTATAATACTTATTCTTCTATTTATTGTAATTTAAGATTGAAAGATCAAGTCGAGAGGCGTCTGATCTATTAGCATATTCCGTCGGAGTAATCGAAATGGTGGAATAACTATCACAAAATACCAAATATGAATCGAAACATTATTATAAGCATCATTAATGATGCTCCCAGCAATAGCATCACCAATCCACTTTCAAAGCATGGCTTGGGGTACCCCAAGGCTTTCATTTTAGACCACAACTATTTCTCATGTATAATGTTGGCAATTTGCAAATAAGTTTAGTCTTCTGCAGTCTAGTTAAGAATGCAGTACGGTCCATCGTAACATTATCGTAAAGCCATAATTGCTTGTGGATTGTTAACTTGACTCATCCCTAACTGACTCAGGTGTCGAAAAGGGGTGATGTCTTATATCGCCATCACAAAGTTTATTTTGTAATTCCTCTGTGCTATGTTAGTTATAATAATGAAGTATTTAAATCAATTTAATTAGATGGCAGACACTAAGCACTATACGAAACAGACTGTTTAGTGAAAAGGTGTTTTGATAAATCATTTTAGTTTAATGCCTGTATTATACAAATTATATGATAGATTTTAGTGAATTTAAAAATTAATAATGATATTTAAAAAAGTATAGATACATTATGTGCAACAAAATGATACTCAAAAAACGTTCCAAGATACACAATGAATGCAACAAACTTAATTACAGTAATTTAAAAAAAAACTCAATTTTTTTATTTGCAAATGAAATATATAAATTCTATATAGCCTATGTCACTTCCACAATTAAGACATATCTAACGACACCCCATATGTTAAATCCATTCAGCAGTTTAGACTATAGAGTTGGCATGTCGATATGAGATCAATTAATCAAGGAATCGATTTATTTAGCTCGATTTTTTAAATCCATATATAGTACTGAATTGATCCAGTGAATCGATATTTCACTCTAGAAAATCGAGATCGAATCTTATTCTGTTTTCATAAGAACTAGATATTTATTTACAATTAGTTGAATGTACCTAAACTTGTAAAGAATTTTTTTGTGAATCGATTCATCAGATTTCGATTCGAACCGATTTAAAAATCGATCTTTTTCGGAAAGAATCGGCAGCCCTACTTCAGAGCCTGCTAAAGAAGTAGACATACATACATACTCTCGAAAAACACTACCCTCCTTCTGGACCAGTCGGGTTATAACCAAAGTGTCTGAAATAAGATACTAGATAATAAGAACAAAAGGAGATTTTAGGATATTTGCCCATCTTCAGTTTTGTAACGTTTAAGATATCTATACTTTTCAAATATCATCGGAAACTATAAAACCCCAGGTTTTGTTAGTGCCTCAATGTTGAAGCTTTATTAACCATGAGGGTAGTTCGGTAAAATGTATTACTTTACTCAGGAAATTGTCACTCATGTGTTTTTTATACATTTTTTATTAGCCGTAAAACGCAACATACCAGTGGCGTAGCAAGGGGGAGGGGGGAAGGCTCTGGGCGGTGGATTGTAAGGGGTAGCATTTAGGACACGGAATTCAGCTCTCCGTCCGAAATAGTAACAGTAAAAATCTATAAAAATGTAAAATTTAACTCTTACTGGGCACTTTTGATTAAAATACACGGGACAGAACATACGGGCATAGCGAGAGTAGGGATAAGTATAATAATATATTGTATAGTTTTGTTCAAATATTAAAGGGTATGTTCCAAAATAGAACCCAGTGTACTGTTCAATGCAAATGACGTTATCAATCGACGCCATACTGGTGATTCGTTCCAAAACATAGGACAGTATATGACGTCGTACATATGCGCCATATTGGAAAAGTGATGGCGATTATTTTGTCATTTTTTGCTTCAAAAATCATTATATCTTCCTAATGGAGATACCAGTGATTATTCTATAATTTTTTGTATTTGAATAAATAAAAACAAATTCTGTCATGCTTCATTCAGCGTACACACAATTAAAAATTGTTTCAATATGGCGACGGTACGCCAGTACAATATGGCGAGAATTGATGACGTCATTTGTATTCGGCAGTATACTGGAAACGTTTCGGAACACGCCCTAAATAACGTACAAATATATACATTCATACATTCTTAGGAAAGTGTAGAGGTGAGGGTCGGCGACAACAGAAATCCATGCTACGCCACTGCTTTTATAGAAATTCTATGAGATTACAAAGAAATGACATTTTAATGACTTGTAGCCAAATCAAAAACTCATTTAAAATCAACCAAATACTTGAAGTGCTACTGAAATATATTGTTTTTGCATTTATTTTATAAATAAATACAACATATTATACAATTTATTTTATAAAAGTTACAAAACTAGAGAAAACTTTTACTACCCCCAAAAACTGCTGTATTTATATCATGTGCTATCTCTTTTTGTCCAAGTGAAATGCAAGAGTATGCAACTGTAAGGTACCTATGGTGTTTCATAACCACTCAACCGTCCAAGTGATTCTCGCCCCACCTGTCCGCGTATTAAATGTCACTTTCCTTTTTACGACCGCGCGAGACCCTCAACAACAACTATTACTGGTGAAAAACTACTGAAGTTACATTCAAATAAAAAATATTCACGAAAAGCTCAAAAAGTCCAGTATTTAATTTTGTTGAAACAAAATTGCTCAAATTTAAAATAAAGGATAAAAATAAGAGCTTAAAGTTGGGAATATAAAAAAAATCGTATTTATTTTTTATTTCGTGTTTTACAAGAAAAGTATAATAGATAATGGAGACAATGATTTTATATTATAATAGTATATGAAATACTGTAATATTATAACAGTACGCGAGTAACCCGGGTTCGATCCCCGCCGGCACCAATGAAATTGTTAACTGCAATTTTAAGTGCTGATTTACCACGTGCTCGGCGGTGAAGGAAAACATCGTGAGGAAACCTGCATGTCTGAGGAATAAGAAAAAAAAATATTTCGAAGACATGTGAAGTTCGTCAACACGCATTTGGGCAGCGCGGCGGACACTTCCTTGCCCTAAAAACCCTCTCAGAAATGAGGGGAGGCCTGAGCCCAGCAGTGGGACGTATATAGGCTGTAACTTTACTTTACTTTTACTTTTACATGAAATACTCTTTAAAATAACACCAATATCTCAGTATTACTTACTCAGTATAGATAAATATATAATATTTACTCAATATAAATATTCACTCCCCGAGGCAATCATCAATTGCATGAGTTGCATTTTAATAATTTCTAGACACATCAAAATATATTTCTTTTATCAATCGCTATTAACGTGTTAATAGTGAAGCATTCTTTTATATTTAGCATTTATTTAACAAAATAACCAATTAGAATACATTTTAAACAACATACAATTAAATACGATGATTGCGTATAGTGATTAAAATTTCGATTTAAATTATTGTATGTAAACATTTTGCAACTGTCGTAATGATACAAATTTCCTAAAGGAAATATCTTCACAATTAATTTGATGTGCTTACATTAAGATATAATGTATAAAAACAGAACACTTATCAGATTTTTGA